GGGGAGGAAGAGGAGAAGAAACAGTTCAAAACAGTACCATCCAGTGCTATGAATTCACCAGGCAACAACTATCTCCTCTTCTTAATCTCTTTACCCTCCACCCAAGCACATTTGTGTTCCTGAGCTTTTAATTTCTTTACCATCTGTCCAAGTTAGCTTGCACCACAGCAAAATACCATGCTAAGTGACAGGACACATTCAGGGAACTCTCTCATTCTATGAAATCTCTAAGTGCCTGCTCAGTTTTAAAAATAACCGGCATCACTCATCTCGCATTTTGAGAGTTCAAAAGGATGAAAAAGAGAAATCTCTTTCTCTTCCCGCATCTGCAACTGAGCTGTTGCATGATCAGACAAAGCCAGTTCCCTTCTCTGTCTCAATGTACCTACCTGTAACATTAGTGATAATAAAAAAGTATTGGGAGCAATCGAGAACAAATACTACTTAGAAGTACTAGTAAATCCAAATTAATTTCAGTTTTCATTAACTTTTGCTTTCAAACTGGCATATCCTAGGCTGCTAGCTGGCAACAAGCGTTTCTGAATACAACGGCCCTTGTTTGATGTGCTGCCATTTGGCAGCCCTGAGCAGACTCGACATGTTTTTGGTTTCACATTCCAAAGAGAAACCCAACTATTTAATCCCTGTGTTTTGTTTAAAATTCTCTTAAACTAGAGTATCAGATTAAAATTAATCTTATACTTATATAAATACTAAAGAAAGCTAAAAAAGCATTTAAAAAGAAAGCCCACCTATGAGACAGGCTACAGTATGCTCCTTGCAAAAAATGACCTGTTTTCTCCTCGTTTCTTAAAGGCTGGTGATGACCGTGACCCTACTGTTCTTAATTACAAGATTTCCTCTCTTATATAACATTTTAATGTTTTCAAATGCAAATGTAATGCTTGCAGATGTATTCAAATAATATACTGAAATTGTTTGCTAATCTGCCAAAGCTCCCAGATTGTCAAATTCCAAGACTGTCTAACCCAGCTGGCAGCCAGAGGTCTAGCCACAATTAAAGGTATATAAATATATTTGAAAAAATTACAATTATTTTTTAAAATCCCAAAATACCTGAAAAAGTAAACCCCAAGATTTGTATTCTGAACAGTGATTAACAGTGCAACACAATTCCGTTTCAAGTGTTCGGTCTGAGGTACCTTTAAATAGCCAGATTGTGAAAATTTCTGCAGGACTCGGAAGTTAAGCGACAAGTAGTTTTTCAAGGACTTAAGTGTCTGCAGTGGCATATGAAGACTACATGTAAACAACAGTGAACTCAACGAACAGGGAACTAAGCTCCTCCGAAATATGAGGCGAGATCAAGCTTAAACCATATTAATATAAATCTGTAAGATTTCAGCATAAAGCAAATATACAGAAATACAATTTGCTGGCTTGCTCCCTCTTCACATTTACTCCATCTCCCACCCTGTCTTGTCTGGGGCACGAGCCTCCAGGTTTGAACTTTCAGACTGCCAGGGTGATGAGCAAGTAGGGCTCTCTTTATAGAACATCTCTCTATAGAAGGCAGCTTACTGTCACAAGGATGTAAACAGCAGCTCTGACCTCTAGACCCACAAAGTTTTATATCAGAATAAAAGTTGTATGGAGCCTAAAGCTTCCCACTTTCAATACCTGTACAGTATGTGCAGAAATGAAAGAACCACCTTCTTTTTAGAAAATTTGTGAAAAGCCACCAATCCTAAACTGTGCCAGAATAAACTGTTCAAGCTTGACAATTCACAAAATGGTTCATACCTCCCGTTCCAGATATGATTTAAGGGATTCTGTCTCATTTAACAGAGTAACACTGCATTTGCCTCTAAAAAAAAAAAAAAGAGAGAGAGAGAAATACATTTTACAAAAAAACATCTTAAATGCTCATGTGATTCACAAGACGGTATTACGTATTACTGAAGTTGTACACAGAATTTAATCTTACGTTGAAGAATACTTGAATAATAATAATGCCATTTGTTTTTTTAATAAAAAGCACTTGGAGAAAATAGTCATTACCTAATGTGTGTGGCTGGCAGAGACTCCAGCTGTCGTGAAAGAAACAACTCACGATGTCGTAGCTGATGCTTCTGTTTCTCTGGTAAATCAACCATTTCTGGATTTTCCATCTCTTCTTCCATTTCTCCTAGTTATAAAGAGACAAAAGTATTGATTCTGAGCCAGTAAGGATGAGCTGCTCCAAAACCTTTGCTAAATAATACACATTATTTAGATTAAATCTAACTTCATCTGAATCCTTACACTTCAGCCAACTGAACAATTAGGTAATTAGTACAGATGTTTTAAATGATGCCTGTGAAGAATCGTATTTATTCACCACTGGGATCAAAGCATTCCAGGTACACACAGGTCACGCTGGCTTACCAAGCTGAAAGTCACACAAATCTGCTACCAACAGACAAGCTCTGAAGAGTGCTGCTCTTGGAAACCATCACTGCACTGTTAGATTCATCAGGAAGAAGCTGACGCACGATGAGTGAGGCAGTAAAAGCTAGAGTCTTTCCTTTTTGCCAGGCATCAGCTACCTTAGACCCTACTCCTCTTTCAGGATATCACAGACTGTCCCATCCTGTCTTCAAGAGCTTTTGCAGGAAACGGCCACTGAAAAGGTTAGGTTAGTTTTTTAGTGTATTTTTTTCTCTTCACCCCGACCACAGCCAATAGACCACAGTCACAAGATTAATTGGAATGTAACCAAGTGCCTAAGGCCAGTCTTGCAACCCACCCTACCACACCACACCACACCACACCACACACATTCAACTGCAATACTCCTGCATTTCAAAAGCTTGCTTTATTCCGCAGCCAGGATCCACCATGTCTGGCTTTGAGCTATCCAGTCTCCATCCAACCAGTTTTTAAATGAATGCCAAAGTAAGTATATGAAATCACATCCACAGAGATAACACAACCGATCCAAAACATCACCTTTCTCCTAAGAAAAATTATTAGTACGTTTTGTGCTTATTAGCAAGTATCTTGTCAATTATGCAAGATAAAGCTACAGAAGGCAAAACACTCCGAGAAAGCTGCAAAGCTTCTCCATAATGAAGGACTGTGATAGGATATATCAGACTTTTTCCTTCCCTATGAAATTAAGGCGATTACTGCTTCTTCGAAAACCACAGTAAAAGTTTCCCAGACTGTAGTAGAATAAGCTGTAAAGTCTCATACATGAATAGTAAAACTCAAAGAGTACTGCTGCCGTAAAATTAAAGAGCTGACTTATGCCTGCAGCTTAATTCAACAGTTGTTGCCAAGAAACATCTCTAGTCAAACACATACAGGCACAGTTATGATTGATATAACCTTAACATTAGTTAAGTATAATCCTCACAGTTATCTCAAAAGAAAGCAAACAGAAAGGAGAGATCTCCATTTTACGAAACACTAAAGTTGCATTTAGTTTTAAATAGGCCACCATTATGCCAAAGGGGGTGACAAAAAAATTATATACCCTTCAGGTTCCCCACAATTTATCACTGTTTTACTGTCCTGGAAAAAGACTCGTGGTTTATATGCCCCTCAGGTAAGCTGCTCCATCAAGGAAGGAAAAAAATAGTAGCATAATTAAACCAGACTGCAACGTACAATAGCTCTTGCACCACATGAGCTGTTAAGCATACAGCAACATGCACTTGCACTTCAGTATTTTCCTAGGAACTAGAACACCAGATTTACATTTGTGCCACAGTTTCATGGTTCTGCAATTTATTTACTGAAGTGGATTCTGTTTTAGTTGAAAACTAATATTGTGGCTGCTGACCTACACTATAAATACACCAGCAGCAATCCACAAACAAGTCAGCAAGTTCCAAGCTAGCTTGCCTAAAAACCCAAGGATGCACAAATGAAAAGGCATTCATGCCTATACTTACAAGTTTTTGGAGAATGAGAGTAGTGCACTGTGTAATGCAGGAAAAATACTATAAGAAGCAACCTAAAATATTTCATATCTTCAGTGTATTTAAGAACCCAGGGCTTTTAAAAATTACATTTTTAAAAAATATATATTAACCACTACGTGCCAATCAAATCTACAAACAAAATGAAATCACCCAGCACAACCAAGCTAATCTTGGGAACAGCATCCCTTCAGCTAGGCTCATCTTCCAACTAGTGTTTTATTTATGTGTCTAGCTTTTGTAATAAAATATGGAAGGTGGGAAGCACATATTTTCTTCTTATGCCAGCTCTGCTATGCACAGCCTTTCAAAATAAAAAGCCTTTTTTTTGTTTTTTTTAAGATAGACATTTCTACAGGTAACAAACAACTCCCCACACACACAGACATAAAATTGTCATAGTTCCTGAAGACAGAGGTAGGAATATTCCAAGAAATAACAAACAAACAAATCTACACAAGCATCTTCCCTCCTTTTCCAAAGCCACGATATAGTACTGAAAAGAATGAACCTGGCAAATGCATTCAGAACCAAGGGAAGAAGGAGAGAATACAGGGCTGGATCCAGCACAGGAACCTCTCTGTCTCCCTGAAGTCGTGCAAAAGCGGCTTTGACAAAAACCATAACTAATACCTCCTCACCGCCTCTGCGCAGATGGCAAAGGCTTAAGTCAGACTGTAAACCACAACAGGGGCTGGCCCAGCCTCAGCTGCCAAGACAAGCCTGTCTGACACATCTGCATTTCACCCTCCTATAGCTCAAGCACTCAAGCTCTAAGTGAAGCAGACTTCATCCTTGAGAATGGTGGCCCCTGAGAAATAAGGACCATAGTCTAAAAAAACCAAAAGACCTATATGTTTTTAGATATATATAAAAATAAAAATCTTTTCAGAAAGACATGCCTGCATTTATGATAGTACTGCAGAATAAGTGATATGGGAATACAGTAGGTGCAGTATATTGGGACTTCAAGGCTCTCATAAAGCCTTACTTCAAAATTAATCTCTCGGCTTGATAGATGTGCTCGTGCAGATTCAAAACTAAACATTTAGTCTTAATACAAACAGTAATATATCAGCTATGGAGAAGTAGCCAGTGGAATGCTGCAAGGAGCATACTAGATTAAGTATTATTTGATATTTGATGACAGAATCATTAATAGCACATTAACAAAGCTTAAAGATGACTTATATTGGGAACAAGAGACAGGCAGATTGGACACAAACAGCAAGACTCACGTGAAAGCTAACATATATGGGGAAAAATAATTAGAAAGAGTAAACTTTGGGTTGGCAGGAGAAACCCAAGAGGCAGTAATTGTAATTTAAAATGACTGGGTGTGCGAGATGCGAAATTATACATCAATATTTGCTAGACGCTAGAAAGAATAGCAATTTGCTATAGATCAGATTGGGCTCTCTACAACATCAGATGTAAAAAGCACCAGCCCTTTCTCTGCATTCTGGGTGCTGTACAAGTAGCTACATGGCAGAATGCAGAAATGCACAAAGGCAAACGATACCAAAATTAGGTTAGAGAGCACACTAGGATGTCCAGCTTGGGAGACAGTCTGTAGTAACAGAATAATTAGAATCATATTATAGTTTGGGTTGGAAGGGACCTTTAAAGGTCACCTAGTCCAACCCCCCTGCAATGAGCAGGGGCATCTTCAACTAGATCAGGTTGCTCAGAGCCCCATCCAGCCTGGCCTTGAATGTTCCCAGGGATGGGGCATCTACCACCTCTCTCAGCAACCCGTTCCAGTGTTTCACCACCCTCATCGTAAAAAATTTCTTCCTTATATCTAGTCTAAACCTGCCCTCTTTTAGTTTAAAACCATTACCCCTTGTCCTATCGCTACTGGCCCTGCTAAAAAGTCTGTCCCCATCTTTCTTATAAGCCCCCTTTAAATGTTGAAAAGCTGCAATAAGGTTGTCTGTGCAGCCTTCTCTTCTCCAGGCTGAACAACCCCAGCTCTCTCAGCCTTTCCTCACAGCAGAGGTGTTCCAGCCCTCTGATCATTTTTGTGGCCTCCTCTGGACCCTCTCCAACAGGTCCCTGTCCTTCCCCTGCTGGCCACGCTTCTCTTGATGCAGCCCAGGATACGGCTGGCCTTCCGGGCTGCGAGCGGACGTTGCTGGCTCATGTTCAGCTTTTCATCCACCAGCACCCCCAAGTCCTTCTCCATGGGGCTGCTCTCAATCCCTTCATCCCCCAGCCTGTACTGATACCAGGGGTTACCCCGACCCAGGTGCAGGACCTTGCACTTGGCCTTGTTGAACCTCACGGGGTTCACATGGGCTTGCTTCTCCAGCTTGTCCAGGTCCCTCTGGATGGCATCCCATCCCTCAGGTGTGCCAACTATTATTACTAATTAGTTAGCGTGGTATCACTAACAACAGAATGTAAAGAAAAAAGGAAAAAAAATGGGGTCAAAGCATTGGGAAACACAGTAAAGCCAGTGCTATTGACCTGAACAACAGTTCCTTCGGTAGTGAAGGAAGCTTAAACTCTTTGTACTTTAACAGCTCAACTAAGCAGCTTGAAAGTGTTGTAACACTTATAGAAGTGTTGCATTTGAAGAAATGAACAATACAACACCACATTCCTTCTTCCAGGTCCAGTTTCAAATGGTCTATATTAAGCCTCAGCCTTGTTCATTTTCTCTCTACCAAAATCCAGACATTAATAGCTATAGAAAATATGGTGAAAGTTTTAACAAAAAGAAATCCTTATACCTTAACACTTCAGAAGGAGTTTGCCACATTATCAAGACATCCCACTACGATCCTTTCCAGAGCTTCTTGTGATCATCTTTTGCAGCCATGGCCACTACTACAGGTAGTATACAGAGCAAACAGACACTATTTTGGACACTTAGCTTTATCTTTCATCACCGCACTACCCCCGGAAGAGAAAAAAAACACAGTTTCCTTCTCTCAGTAACAACAGAGCCAAAAGTGTCATTAGCAGATTAATGAATTCGACTCCTCTTAAATCTGCATGTGTGGTGTTGGGAGAAAACAGAGGAAAAGGGGTATAAAATGGAAGAAAAAAATAAAAGTAAGTAATTTGTGAAGCTATTGTCAAACTGCATTTAGACTGGCGTTATCTAAAATTAAAAAAACCCCAAACTTAATAGACCCCCTACCTGTTTAGGCACACAGGTCTCATGCAACTCATGGACTGATTGAGTAACGACACCTCACCGCTGCAAGATGTTTATTTTTAGAAGCTTTGGGACTTACAAAAAACCATGCTGCCATGTGTGCCTGGCACCCAAACATCAGCTGCTGAAAGCTAACCGCAAACTTGCCAAACTGGCCGGCACTAACTACTCCGTTCTCCAACCACTACCAATTTGTTTTACAAATCAGGATAAATGTTTTTAATGAAGCAAAACTGTGGTCATCAGACAGATCACAAGTAACTGGAGGTGGGTGGTTAGATGAAGGGACAGGAGGTTGTATTCCTGTTGCTGTTGGAAATATTTACTTAATTATATAAGAAACCATGTAAGACATTATATAGAAACTATAGGGAGAAAATACATAGTCACAGCATCCAACAATAGCTTGAAGAGTGAACTGTCTTTCTCACTTCTCTTCCATCAAGTTCTGCCTGCAATCTTGTCTGCATACAATATTCTATCTTAAACCAATACACAGTCTCTGGGTGAGAACATTAAATAGTCTCCTACTGGTGAAGCAGATTCATTTCAAAAACAGGTGGAGAAATTCCCTAGAATAATTTGTGAGGTGATTAAAGAGGCTTATGAATAAAAAGTGCTAACAATGTATGGAAGCCACTATAAGGCTGAAAGATTTATAGGACAGCCAAGACAAGCTTTGTATCATATGATAAAAATAGTAAGATCACAGATCAAATCCAAGAATCAGGTTGCATACATCAGGTACTAATTTACAGTCACCAACTACAGAATACGGTGCTTCCAACTCATTTCTCTTTATAAAGAGTTATGAGAAAAGACAACATATCTCAGACTTGTCTGTTTCAGATATCTGATGGATTATATAAGCTAAAGTGTAAGCGCCTTTTAAAAAAAAAAAAAAAAAAAACAACCAAAAAACTTTGCAACATTCATTTCACAATTACATTTTTTCCTTCCTTTACTGGAAGAGAAAAAAATATTAGAAAATACACATATACTTTTTACATTCGTGTTCTGGCCATATCTTCCCATTATTTGGTTCTCTCACTGCACTGATCTCAACAGTAGGTCTAAAATAAAGGCATCTTAAACAGAAGACTCTGTGAATCCAGAAATGTCTGCAGTCAGAAAGCTCCATTAATCAGCTGAACAAAGGCAGTTAAAAGATCAGCGATGCAGATACGTACATCTACTGCAAATGCATCAAAATGAGGCAACAGGAGACTTTATGGAAATGAACTCAAAGTCAGTGACAGTGCTGAGTATCTGTACTAGAATCTTAACATCCACAAAATTTAATTTCATTATATCATGCAGGATGTAGGGTTTTTTTTCCACAGTAAAGAACTAACAGCTTAATTTTCCCCTCTTCTCGCTCCTTAAGAAGAACGGAAGCCACACAACAGCACATCTATCTAAATAAATGGAAGTAATGTAGTAGCAATTTTATTCTGCACCAGGAAGAAACATAGTGGAAAAAATGTTAGTTACTAATGAAATTTACACTACGAGACAGCCTCAGTTGTCTCTGGTGGCTCTTTCAATAGGATTGTGCTATAGAATTATCCTGTCTTTCAAATACATATTCATATAAACAATTAATTATTTGTTTGCACTAAACAAAAAATCTTAAATTTCTTATCACAAAAAGAAATCAGCCTTTGCAGGTTCAAAGAGCATTTATATGGGTTCAAATATTTTTAATTTTCAGCCTCAGACATGCGTTTCTTTGAATCATTCCCACCTGCTTCCTTTACTAAATCTAGTGAAGTAAGACAGAGATGAAAGAATCAATAGTCATGCTGTTTATGGTGAAGCTCCTATTAAGCTTCACTATTCTCAGATAAAAGGAGTACTGCTGCACTGAAGAGATATCAAAAAAGCTTTGCCTGCTACCACAATTCTGCAACACAGCCAAATCTCATCTCAGTGCCACATGACTTTTTTTCCAAGGTATGGTTGCAATGGAGGGACTTATTTGGCCTTGAATCTACAACAGAAAATATTCAAATTTATCAATAAGGGGCTAGTTTTGCTGCCTGTTTTCCCCAACAGCACCACAGCACTGAAAACACAGCAAGACATTATATTCATTGTTAAAACTGAGTATCTGATTTAATCAATCCCCATGCAGTACAACTACGTAGATCTGTATTACATATACATCACAGTCTATTCATATATACAGCAAGACACCCATTAAAAGACAATGATGCTTGGCAGCTAAATCATAATTTTGACATGCCCAGGTCGGATTCCTTCTTTTTCATTTATGTATGTGCCTACAGGAAAGCCTTGAACTACAAGAATTGATATGGCTGTCCATGCCTTTTGCTAAATTTTAAGCAATCCGAACAGCTACATCTCACATACTCCACTGTTTAGAAGTAAAAACAGTGTAGTAACTCCACCTGCTTACTCCTCTTCTCCCTTTCAACATGTCTGTTTTGGTAACTGTCTGTTTTGTTAGTACTGTGTCCATCACTTCGCAAGGATGGGATGAGAGGGATGCTGAACTGGCAGAGGAAGGTGTAATGAACCTAAACCTAATCCGCACTGGCAACTAGAATGGAATCAAACAGGCTGGAAGCACCCTAGATAAAGTACCCAATGACATGTAATATGCTGCGCTATTTCTCCCCTGGCCTTGAGAGCCAGCTAGTGCACCATGCTCACCCCCCTTCTGCATTTAGAATGCACAGATCTACAGCAGCTTCTCAGCTATTTTGTGTGCCTTTTTTTTTTTTAACGATCCGATTTTTTTTTTGCAATATCTTGCCTTCCAGACTGATTGATATAGGCAAACATCTAATCTATACTGACACATAACTATTTTTTGTATAAATACAAATACAATAATACATTTTAGAATTTTTAGAACTTTTCTATAATTGAAAGAGAATTTTAACATTGAATTCTTGTTTAGAAACAAGCTTCCATCTCTACTCAGCTAGGTATCTCACATGCCTCCGACCTCCTTGGCAGAGGAGTACATGCCAACGTAAATTAACACAACATTCTGTAAAATAATAAAAATTTTAAAATTAGTTATGCAACGCATACATGCAAAGGGGGACGAAGTAAGGTAGCATGAACAACCCCCTAAATTTTATGACAGTTTAGCTTCATGTTTATGTTTTTTTTAAATCAGAAAGTACGGTACTTAAAAAAAGAAGTTATAGTTTTCAACTCTCCTCTCAGCCTAGATTTTTTTTTTCCCCCTAACAAAAGGACTTGAAATATTCAAAATAGCAATAGGATGTCCTAAACTGCAGTGCTTTTAAGATGTATTTACTGAGCATGTTCAGGCAAAAGCTATGTCACTACGAAAAATATTACTAATATTGATATGTAAAGAAAATTCCTGTTAGCCAAGTTTCAAGCTGGCCATGTTTCAAGTCGGTTTCCTATGATCAGACTATTTGATTTACTCATAAAGAAAGTTTGAGGGTTTTTTTTAATCTGCTAACCAAACCAAGTCATTCATGACAAGTAATATGAGACAGGGAGAATACTTTCACTCATCCCCAAAATTAAGAAATTCGCTTCTATGAAGCAAGTAAGATGCCTTTATTCAGCCCTAACTGAAAACTTCTGCCCTGTCCCTACCATGATAACCAAATCCTACATCAAATGAAGTTTTAAAAGGTTTAAAGGGATTTGGGGGTGGGGGGGGTGGGGAGAGAAGTCAGCCAACCAAGTAATGCAATTTGCTAAAGACAAGTACAGGAAAAGGACATTTAAAAATAATAATCTTTATACATGTAACAGTAATATCATAGCTCTATCCAAGCTCGGCAATTTTGCGTAGAAGCAATTTGAACACAAAGAAGCTTACTTGCATGTTTGTCTGCCAATACAATAAGTGTACTTGATATGTCTCTTCTTCTGTAGAAACATACCACCTTTGCTTCCACATTTCCATTGGCAGTCTGAAACAGGAAGGGAAAAAAAAAAAAAAAACAAACCACAAATCAAGAACTGAACTGTACGCACCCAACTAGAAAACTTCATAAATAATTTGGAATTTTGCACCAAGAGCTACATAGCATCACCTTTAAGCACCAGCTGCACACACGTTATCTAACACACAAGCTCCAGCGTGATCCATTCCAGGGTAGGGAAACAGAGTTTGGCCCTTCCCTCCTAATTGTTTCTGCGGGATCACCATTTTCAGCAGTTACAGATGTTTCAAGGGGTTAGACAAAACACTTACCTGCAGTTACAACATATTAACAAGCCACTTCGCTACTTTTCAGGTGACGCCTACATTTCGTAGGAATCCAAAAGCATCTTTAAAATCCTAATAAAAGTAACTGTGAAATATAACAACAGAATTCAGGTTTAGGCTGTTCTCCAAACTCTGTAGGACAGTAGGAAAGCAAGAAAGAACCCAGCCATTATTACTTTCACAAAAGAAATCATGTAAAATTTTCTTTCTCTGACAGCACTGGTGAGCTAAACAATGACTAACACAAAAAAATCATTCCAAAAGGAGAACCAAGGAACCTGCACCAGGCCATACACTCTACACCAGTGACAACATACAAAAAAGTCTGAATTTTTTGAAAGGTTTGGGATTTTTTTCTTAAGACTCTTAAAATGAGGTAGGTGATAAATCTCTCGTAAGATGGCATCTGCCAAATTGTGAAACTGGCTTTATGCAAACTCCAGGGGAAAACACACCTACTGGTTTGTAACAGCCCCAGCCAATCTACTCTCTCTAAAATAAATCAACAAGCAATGAAAGCGTAACTGAAAAGAGTTGTATCCTACTACTGAAGAGTCCTTGTAACCATAATGATGGCACGCAGTTTAAGAAACTAGAAGACTAAGATACAAATTCCCCTCCGGGAAGTCTGCAAAAAAGGTAGCAGACCCACAATCTGTCCACAAGGAAACAAAATAAAAACTGATCTATGTGCTTGTTACTAAGATATGAATGACGGAAAGGTTTAATCTTTTATAATACCAGTTTTCCTAACACAAAGAAGAAAAATCAGACAATACGTACATGCACAAATACTTCCCCTTGCAGCCTACCAGTTTTTGGTACAGAGCCTGCAGAATTTCTATCCTTTTTTGTTAAGTAATTCAGAACTTTCAAATTTTGAGGAACTAAAATAGAAAGGCAGGAGCCATCTTGTTAAAACACAGAGAGCTACAATGTAGAATTATCTATTTCATTCAATTGCCCAGGCTTCATTTGCACGCAGTGAAAAAAAGGCAACACAAGATATATGATTCATTTCAACCTGAAAGACCCATTTCAAAGAGTAGGTCAGAGAAATGACAGCTCAAGCAAGAGTTAAAATGAGAGATCCAGGCTGAAAGTTCTTTTTTCAAAGGCGGGGGAAGAATGAAGAGGGAAAAGAAGAGGGGAAAACAACACTTTCCTTGAAAGTGATCAACAGATCTGCACCCTGTAACTGATGGAATACAGCTATCGATACCTCATGGCTATGGACCCACTGGGAATAGTTTAGGGACTCACCCTTATTTCCTTAATGGAAGAGACAAAGTATTTCTGCAAAAGACCTCCACTAAAAAGAAGGGGTTACAAGGATGTCCTAGCCTTCAGATTCTTTATTTGTCATTATATTGGTAAATTTTCTCTTTGAAGTAACTGTTTTAGAAAGACATGTTTTTCCATCGCTGAAGAAAGAGACCTAATTTTAGTCAGTTAATTTAAATTCAAATCCAAAGCAGCAATGTTACATTCCTTCTGTATGGGCTGCAAGGGAGATGCTGCTGTTAAACCTGAGAAAGTGACATGCTTAGGACACAGCTAAGGGCTTCAGAATAGTCTTCCCTCCTTAACTAGGTAAAATTTCAACATCGAGGATTTCAGCTGGCTTCCCACATACAAGCTATGGTGCTACCCTTTTAGATCCAGGGAAATCTGGCAGATGAAATAATACACTGGCCCAAAGGACAACCAGCAAAGACAAAGTCTGAGGAAGCAGATAATAGCGCCAAAACTTCCTGTTGAGCAAGAGGCTCCCCCAAGAAAGATCAGATTACAAAGATCTCCATCCTCTAGGCGAACTGCTCTACTACCTTCATACCCCATGATCCCGGCACGGAACTGAAAAACTGCAGAAATCCCCTGCCCTACAGGTGGGCATAATCGCCTTGAGAAGGACCTACCCTTGACGCTCTGTCCTTTCATACCAAAGGAGAACAATCTTGCTGGTCTCAAAGAATTCCAGAAAATTATCAGAACAAAAGTATTTTTAAGCTTCTAATTACCAGAGAACTGCTAAAGAATGTTTTGATTTTAATCAAATCAAACACATCATAAATTCAATTAACTTCCAAGACTTGATGGAAAAAAAAAACTGTTTACCTTATTGAGCTCTTCTATTCTTCGTATCAAATATGGGTTACTTGAAGAATTTTCGAAGTAGACATAATCTGACAAAAAGGAAAAAAAGACTTTAAAAGATGAACTGCTAAAAATCGAATCAACACTCCACGTGTATACCTGTTAAAGACACCATACCACATTCATTTCTTGGCACAAGCAGTGTTTCAAATGTTCCTACTAAACCCAGGATTTTAAGCGAGGAAATACAAAATCCATGTCAGTATAAGGAACATGTATTAGTGCAATCTGAAGGCCATAAACTCACTTTGTTTAAAAAAAAAAAAAAAAAAAAGAAAAAAGAAAAAAGAAAAAAAAAAAAAAAAAAAAAGAAAAAAGAAAAAAGAAAAAAAAAAAAAAAAAAAAAGAAAAAAGAAAAAAGAAAAAAAAAAAAAAAAAAAAAGAAAAAAGAAAAAAGAAAAAAAAAAAAAAAAAAAAAGAAAAAAGAAAAAAGAAAAAAAAAAAAAAAAAAAAAGAAAAAAGAAAAAAGAAAAAAAAAAAAAAAAAAAAAGAAAAAAGAAAAAAGAAAAAAAAAAAAAAAAAAAAAGAAAAAAGAAAAAAGAAAAAAAAAAAAAAAAAAAAAGAAAAAAGAAAAAAGAAAAAAAAAAAAAAAAAAAAAGAAAAAAGAAAAAAGAAAAAAATTGAGCTCTACTGTCAGCCTGGAAAGCAAAGCACACGATCTTCCTTCTCTCTCAGATCAGATTATTTCCACTTTGGTCACACTGTTTTCTTTACTTGTTTCCTCTTCTTTCTCATCAAAATCCAGCCACTTCTCACCAGCAATATGTGATCTTTCCTCTTCCCCTCCAGCTCACCTTCAACATATTGTCCATTTACTTAGAATACAAATAGTTTCATTCTTTCTTTCTCTCTTATCTTTTCCTCTACTTCCTGATCCTTTACACCTATATTATCCTAGAACAAGCTCAACAAAACTCCATATAGTAAGCCAAACAGGTCGGTAATGCTCATATTTCCAAGCAGGATAAACATCTTAAGTTACAGGAAGAAAATGAGGTCTTTACCGAAGGTAGTGCCTTCAAAAAAAAGCAGAGAAGCATCAGGGAGCGCCATATGAATAATTTGGTATTACTGAGCTCCAAGCTTAAGCACTCCTTTTTACAGGTAAGGAAAGAGAAGCTCAAGAGTCTTGAATGGACTTGGCCTTTATCTCCCAACACTCCAGAAGGCAAACCTTAAGCCTTAAGCGAGGCTGAATTCACCTCCCCACCGCAGCCACCCACCCTCCGGTGCTGACCTTGCATGCAGATGCAACAACAATTCCTTTCAACACTAGGTGCTAAATTTAAGACGATTTCCCTCCAGATTTCCCAGCTCATTTGTGTTTGGAGCAAAACACCCATAGCCCCTGGGCACGACTCAGGCAGTCTGCAGTGAACACATTAGCATGACGCTCCACCACTGAATGGGTGTTTAGTGGTGCTAGCCTTTTGTAAATAGGGACAACGACTGAAGCTGTTAGCCTCTGTCTCCCCGAAATGCTCGTTGAAAGGGCAGTCAGTATCAGAGATGCTGTTACCTCCTCCCCAGCCCAGAGGAAGGAAGACATCCCCCAGGGCCTCTGCTCCTCAAAAGCTGCACCACGATTCCCCTCTTATCTCCAGGGTGGCCAGGGAGACACCAGAGCATTCACCCATCACGTCCTACAGCAGCCCTTCCAAATCCCCATGTAACACTAGTCAAGCTTACAGCTCACCTCATCCTCAGGCCTGGAGTTAACAGAGGAAGCTGCTTGCTGCCTGAGACAGGAGGGCACAGCAGCGAGCTGGGCAAACGACCCAGCAGGACCCGCAGCCCTCACTAACTGCGAACAGCTCGTGTGCCCTCATGTCCCTTCAACAGGGCTGAGCTGCCCGAGGAGAGCGGTCACAAGCCAAGAATCCCAGGAGTTACAATCCCAAGAGCGGAAATTTCCCAAAGGTCTTGTCTTTCCAAAAAAATGTGTCGCATGCCAAAGAGTTGCAAAGACACCTTGACAATGAAGTCTCAACACAGCCTTGGTTGAAGTGATGAGGCTGCAATGCCGATACTCAAACAGTGCGCATCTTGGGTTGCCTAACCATACGTAGTGTAACCAGGGCTAATAAAGCATAGAAATACTACGCCAAATTTTTATATTTTTGTGCATTCTGTGCTCCAGACTGATCATCAGCTATCTTCACGCACACTAACACACATCTGAGTGACTCCAAAACTTTCTTCCTGCCTGCAAGAGTCAGTTCCTCTTAAATGTCACTTCCCTGCAGGCTTTAGACTGAAGAACGATCTCATCTAAGGAATTCAGACTGGACATCTGGTTTGTAGAAAAACAAAAGTTCCCAGAAATGGTTAAAACACCCAAGTAACCAGATCCTAAATTTCCACTCCCAAGCACCCGCTCTGTACAGCACACCAAATGGGAAACAACAGGCTCAACGTTACTATGACCAACTCTACCAGAAGTCACAAAACCAAACAGATATTTGGCAGCTTCAGCAATAACAACTGCTGACTGAAATAATGACAGGTGTCAAGCAATTACAGAGCAGCAGAGTAAAGAGAAATCTTTTATCCCACAGCAGAACCACCCATGCCCTACAAAGGTGCTGCAGTGGAGGATGTGGAAGCTTCGAGGTGCTCCAAGCTCACCAGCCACCTCTCACCTCAAGGCTCCATCATCCGGAGGTTCTTTCCCTCCACCCCTCTCATTACTGCCAAGACAACCAGCTACCTTTCATTTCAGGTACTCTGGCTGAGGTCAATGCAAAAATCTTACATTTGTGAACACTGTCACTGAAAATTAAAAGTGAAAACTAAAGGAAATGTCAATCTCTGTCTTCAAAATATAAACTTGCCTTTAATTCCATAGGTTTCAGGTGACCGTTACAAGTCTTCATAGTTCACATAATTTTTCTAACAGCTTTTTTGTGTGCCCATATGTGCATCTGTTCTCACAGACACGTTTTCTACTTCAAGTGAACATTAACTCAATTTTTCATGTAACTACAGTTTATTGATTGTAAAGTCTGGCATGGATTTAAAGAACGTTTATCACAGATGAATGCTTTATCAAAGAACCGCTCACAGTGACATCCAACAGTTTTGAATAATAAAACCCCCAAAAACATTGTTTTGCTCAGCAGCAGGCACATCCCCCAAACCCACACTCCGTGATCAGTAACTGCAAATGAACCTCACACAAAACGGCCAACTGCACACCGCTGGCAGAAAGGCAGAACCAAAGCTGGCCCACGGGACGCTTCAAGAGCTGACACATGACACAGTGCAGAGGTGTATACTTAGACCAGTGCCTGATGACTTCATCACGTCACAACTGCACAGCCCAGTACATCTCATCCATGTTTTAGACTAATCCCACAACTATGTTAAGCATTTCACCAGTAGCTATGCAACTAATGGAGACCTATTTCCCATTACTCAAATTACCTGGAAAAGGGTTTCTTCCTCTCTGCAAGTAATGCAGAGTACACTGCAAATCACATAAAACAGAATGTGAGCAGATCAGAGGGGAGTAATCTGCATTGTTCATAGAGATTTTAAATACTGTAACTAAAATTAAAATGCTATCCTGCACAGAGAAATGCTCGAGTTGCTGTTCCACACGTACAACGGAAATTTTAAGTGCAACAAACTACCCTCCAAACCGATGCTTTAGCAGGTGAGAGCACTCCTCTAATTCTTCCATAAACAACAAAACCAGTGAAGGCTGGTTTCCTACACAGCAGGTTTAAAGGAGGTACAGCACCATGCCCCATTGACCCCTACGCTCCAAAACACCTCCTTGCCCCCTGAGCAGCACTTCCCCTTCATCTCCAGCTTCCTCCCATGCCGTGGAAGTGCATCCTTCTCATGCTGCCTACCCAACTAATACTACTCCCAGTTTGCTCTCAGGACAGTAGCTACAACTGCACACGCGCATACACACATGTCCGATGACAGAAACCCTCTACAGGCCCCCAGCAATCCAGTTGTCAATGGGAGACATCCTGTATGTGCACAGCTGCCAGCCTCTGTGCCCTGGGCTGAAAGTGAGGATGGGGAAAGAGATAAAATTAACAAACCTCTAAACAACAGGAAGATAAGCATCTCAGCTCCTACCCCAGAACAGGAAGGAAAGAGTACGCTAAAACAAAAAATAAAGTCTAGGGAACACAAAAGTAGAGCCTGATAGCCTCAAACACAACAGGCTGTCCATCCTTGCTGATTTGTTGGCTTTCCTACTTACAGGACTGAAGGACTAGCCTATCCACTCTGCACCCCAAAAGCACAGCACGTCTCCTTACCAACGGCAACCGCCATAAACACACGAAGCTCACCCCTTACCACCCAACCGCCAGAACGAAGGTTGGAGACTCAATCCCATACCTTCACAACAGCTTGCAGCTTAAACTCACAACGCCTGAATTAATCAGCCATGCATGCACATCACGATCATAATTAACAGCATCACTCATGGACATTAGGGAATTCCCTATGACCAGGCTAAAGCAATGACTGAGGAGTGTGGCAATACCACAACACAGTAAGGACCATCAAGCACATCACCACCTTCTGACACAAACTCAAGATTTGTTTCTTCCTCTTGCCTGCACTGTTACACAGCAGAAGAACCCACATAAGTGAATCTACCAAAAAAGCCTTTCTATCTTATAACTTTTTTTTTTCTGAACCTGAGAATATACACAACTTACTAGAAAGCAATGGTATATGACACAGGTAGTGAACTGCTATAACACAGAGACAAACATACTTGCAACAGTACAGCAGCTAAAACTAGAATGGCAGCCTACAGACCACAGAAGATGGAAATTTTCCACAAAGGCAGTTAAATAATTGTTCTCAATTAGCAATAAACATAACAGACTTTCTTTTTGCTCTCATATACTTTTAAGACATTATTGCAAAATAGCTTCCCCCTCTGCCCTCTTCATGTCAGCTGTTGATTAAGTCTACATCAGCCCATGGAAAAGAAAATCAAGAGGGGGTACCGCAAAAGAAAGAAAACCTTAGGGGCTTTTAGGTGATCAAG